GACAGCAGGTCGGGCCGGGAGCGTGACGTGACGGGAGCTGATCGGGACATTCAGAACATTTATATATATGTGTTTTGGACTGTATAACTAAGATTTACGCTTCCGCTTACTTTTGATGATGCTTTGATGATTTTGACGGTTTTATCATATTTTGATAAACTTTTCAGATAACACAGTTTTTCAGTAACCGGACGTTTTTAAAGTTAAAACAACGGTTTCTAAAGTTAAGTAAAGATTTTTCACGGTAGCACCCCAATCAGTTTCGCAAAGTAAAAATGTTTTAGTTTTCAAAGACTTTGCGAATAAATGCGCTACTCTGATTTGTCTAGTAAGGTGGGGTGTTACAGGCTTAAAGTTGGGCAGTTACATTACAGTGTCCCGATTCAGTTTTGGATATGAGTACAGCTATGATCGTACATGTCATTAAATGATTAATTGTTTAGTTTATCCCGCCCAAGTTTGTGGTGTGCTCACCTCACTTTTCCTCCTTTTCAGGTTGAGCGAGTTGGTGGCGGGCACGAGACGATGGAGTGGTCATAACTGATTAGTTTTCGTTTATTTCTTTTATGCGTACTAAGACATATGCATTTGACATGGTTTTGAGACTTGTTTTATTTGGCATGATGAATTAGTTGATTTGAGTTTAGAACTCCCTTATTATGTTATGTTTCATGACTTATGGTGAGAACTCTTGAAATGAGAATTGAGAAGTTGAGATCCCATTTTTATTTGAGTAAGTAGTTTGAGTCAAGTTTTAAAGAAAAGTGCTACCGCAAGTTTAAAAGATGTTTCGTCGTAGTGCCTTTTGTGATAAGTTATTTTTTGAAAAGTCGTTTTAAGTATGAAAAACTTAGATTTTCAAATTCCGTTAACGCCTTTTAAAATGTCCAATTTACCTTTTAAATATCGGGCCGATACATCGGTGCTTATGAGAAATTTAACATTTCATTCGTGAGCGTGCATCTATAAAAGAAAGGAAAAAATATAATAACATAGTGGTATCGAAGGAAAAAAAAGTCATGATTTTTTAACCCTTCGGAAAACTCACTTAAAATGTCGGCATTTTTTAGAGATTTATGGCATGTTTGGATACAAAAATATCCGCTCAAAACAAGTTTGTCTAGTTAACCAATGTTTAATTTTGAAAAAATAGTATAGTTTGTTAATGAAATTTTGAGGATATATAAAATAATATTTAAAATAGAATAATTAAAAATAATTTGGTGTAAAATAAGATAGAGATGGTAAGAATAATAGTACGTTTAAAATTATACGAGTAGATGAATAGTAAATTAAAATTAATGTGTTAGTGTAAAAAAAATTAAAGTTAAGTTTTAAATATTAATTCAGTATATGAATTCAACAAAAAAAAAAAAAAAAATTATAAACACCCGTTTTGCTTTCCATACCACGTCATTTAGTCAACATTATTGGGAAGAAAAATAAAACACCACGAATCGGCTTAAAAGGGGCACTAATCCTTTATACATATGGTAGGAACTAGGAAGGTATATCTATATAAATAACCTTGGTTTTAAAATACATAAACATACCTTCAATAAAAAGATTTATAAAACAAGTCAAAATCCTCGGAAAAAAAAAAAAAAAAAAAAAAAAAAAAAAAAAAAAAAAGAAACACTCTACGTTGCTCTTACATTCCATGCAAAACTCGGTTCACTCAGGAACCAAAGACAAGGGTTCTTTGCACCATGTGTCGGTATAAATAAACACCACCAAAGAAAAAATGGTAAATCAAAATGCCACCATAAACTCCACCACACCCAGAGCAATGCTGATTACACATTTTCCACAAAACCTACGAAAAAAATTAAAATTTCTTTTTACTCCCTTTCCTTTTGTTCTTCAAAGCCACCCCCTTCACAGAAAGGGCACTGGACACACTCCTCCCTTCAAGCCTCTTGGTCAGCTTCACCACACTCGCCATGCCTTTTCTGGCGGCAGCCCTGTGCTCCGGCCTACGACTCACCATTTTCCGGTCGAGCGGCCAATAGGCATACGGCTCGAGCTTGTCTTTCCTCTTCACATCACCACCTGCCTTCTTGCTGGCGTACTCTTTACCCGTGTAGGCCCACCCACTTTCCGAGGTCTTTCTCCTTTTCTGGGTTTTCGCAGATTTTGAAGACAAGTGACTTCCCGCCTCACTTTTTCCATCATTTTCCTCAGCGTCCAAAGATTCCCGTTTCTTTTTCCTATCGGCCTTTTTGCTCTTCCCTTCCTCCTGAATAACCAGACGCCCGTCAGGATCAATCAAGGGCTCGTCATCCGACTCATCGTCTTTCATTCTTTGTGGTTGTGACGGGCGAAGGGCGGACCTCATTCTCTGTGTATCCAGCAAGTCGAGAGGCTCGTCATCTAATTGGTCGAATGAGTCTTCTTGCAAGCTCTTTGCTGCCTTTCGGCTTTTCTTGGATCTGGCAGTTGTGTATTGCTGAATTGTGTTAGTTAAGATACATATAGTTACATCACTTGTGCGTAAATAGTATCAATTACAGACTGACCGTGAAAGAGATGATTTGGATTGTACAGCCAAAGAATACTTGCTGTGCCGGCCAACAATACTTTTTCCGTCTGTAAATTCACCATCACTGTCGTTTGAGTCGTTATCATTGAGTTCGGAAAATATTTTGGTATGGTTCCATCTACTTATCCTGTAAAATAGATGAGCAGTTCACCCACCGGTCTTACAGAAGAATTTCTACACCACAGCACAAATATTCTCGTTTTCTAAGTTTTGAGAAGGCACAGGAAAACTGATCTAGATATGTTTTCTTATGCCAAAAAAAAAAAGAAGATTCTTGAAAGGTGACATCTTTAACTGTTACAGCGGTGATCCTCATCATGCAAAAATAAAATCACATCATTATAGCGATTTCTTAAAACACGCCGAGGGAAACAATAATGACCTCCAGGCTAGGAAGGAGAAGATTGTAACCATGCAATGGCTTATGGGAAGTATCATTAAGGATCCATACCATTGGAGGTTAAAAAAAAAAAAAAAAGGTAAAGGAAATTAAGAGAAAAAAATCCAAGACCAAGACAACAGTTCCTTGATCCATGCCAATTTTTGAAACATTTACATTTTTGTTGGCGCTGATAAAGGAAATATATGTTTGAAGATGTAGCAGCATTCAGATTTTAATTAAAGTTCTCTTGATTATCTCAGGGAAAGGAAATACCTGGATGTAGTTGCTTTTGATAGAATGGACCTGTCATCCAATGATTTGGCAGCCTGTTTCTTCTCTTTCCGATTCTTGAGCTGCATACACACAACAAAAGACACACCAAGAATTAAACGCGCACCTTCAGAAAAGAAAAAGAAAAACTTCTGCTGATCTGAAGCAGTAGAAACCTTTCTTATATTGGTTAGGAGTTTCATATGGTCTTCAGGCATGACTTCCTTAACTGCATCCAGACCACATTTCTTCACAAGCATTTCAAGCAGCAGTTTAATCTGCATGACGAAAGCGAACAAGGTAAATTCTTGCATTAATTTCATCACATATGAGATAAGCATTCCATAGAACTAAGCCAACACAATCAAAATTACAAGACAATGAAATGCTAGATACACTTACTTTTGCTTTGAAATGGTTCTTGGTGCTGTCTTGCCAGCTCAGCAAACCTTCCACCATGCCGCGCAAATGCGCCTTCAGGCCTTCAGCTTGTGACTTGGCAACCAGTACCTTCAGCAAACCTAAATTAGCCTACACCAAAAGCAACAATATAGAAGCATAAGAGTCAAACCAGACACCAAATTCTGAATAACTAATCAATACTGGTTTCAATTTCGATGGCACCTTAATTATTTCTTTGTTTTTTCTTTGAAGAAGGAGAAATGCGGACGGAAGAAGATTATAAGCTGCAGAAACAAGGTCTGAGAACTCATAAGCCAATCGAGCTAAGCCGGTCATAGCAGCACTGATCATGTGAGGTGTCTCACCCGCCAGACCACCAGCAACCTGCATTTATTTAATAAAAAAATAAATAAATTAAGAGAACACGGTGACAAACCTGAGAAAATACCATGGGGAATATCTCCTCAAACCCCAGATTAATTACCATGTTGAAGAATTGGCGCAATTTCTCCTCTCCACCTTGATCCTCATCTCCACATGCATGACCAATCTGGACAAGAATATCATATGCCCTATTTCTTGTTTTCTTGTTAGCCTAACCAAAACAAAAAACAGATAAAAGGAAGAAAAGAAAGAAACAAGCAAACAAACAAACAGTAAGTAAAAGCACTTCTGCACCACTAAAAAAGGGTAAGAAAGTACCACTACAGACAACAAATGGTGTATGCAATTAGAAACGAAATAAAAAATGGTCAATAATAAGCAAGGTAACATGAGATGGCTGGTTATACCTCTTTTAGTGCTAGTATAATTTCCGTAAGGAAGGAAGCAGTGATGTCATGCCTCCTCTTTTCAGAGCCTTCCTGCAGGCATATTTAACAAAACTAAGATCCACCCAAACTGTGGAATTTTACAGAGGAAACTCACTTGCAGAATGTTAATGTGATGATATGTACCTTAATAGCATGGATGATGAGGAAATATAAACAGTCCAGCCTCTGACGTTTGGCGGAAAAATGACAAGAAGGCAGTACTTCAATCATCAGGCTCAGCACCACCTCAAGTTTCCTTAAAATAAAGTCATCCGAGGTCTGTCCATAAATTTCATGAAGGTCATTAGCACAAATGGGGAAAGATTTAATAATAGTATGTCCTTTGCTGCCCCTCATTGAGGATGAGTATATTTCCTACTGCTAGCAGTATTGTGGTAATAGTAATAGTCAATAATATACAAGCATTACATATTAAAATGTAACAAACCCACAGACACACACAAAGAAAAGTTTATTTACATGTAGCTCATTACTTCCATCTTTGTGATGACAAGGACAAAAACATGTTTGATAATCCAGTACATTATCGGCTTGCATTAAGTGCAAATGTTTGGAATAAAATAGTACTCCCTTGATTATACTTGTTTCTTCAAATTCTATACAGTCAAAACAAAAGCCACAGGTGCTTTCTTATGTAATATGAAATTAACTATTAAAGACAAAGGCTTCTCAACTGCTGCTTTTCTTTTTCAAAACCTTGGGCATGATTTCAGCAATTTTTTTTATTATGCACAGAAAGTATTCAATGAAATCATCACAAGAATCTGGAGATCTTAGAGATGTCACCCTTTTCTCCCTGAGTGAACCAGAGTAACTTTAATGATCTTTACATCTACTAAATCGTTAAATGTAAGCAATTCACTAAAACATATAAAAAAGGGAAAGAAAAAAAATGAGAGAGATAGAGAGCTACATCTTGAAGATTGAAACTGGCGCATGCACTGATATCAACCATAAGTTCAAATAATCATTCAAAACACATTTTGATTCTAAAAACCTGAAGCGTTGAGTCTTAATTTTTTATTATTAATGGAAAAAGAGCACCTGCAGTATCAATGATAGCGCTCTGTACGCCTTCTTCTGAATCAAACCATCAGCGTCCTGTAAGACCAAAAGAAATATATACTTCATGGCTTTGGTTGAAAGCTTCTACATCCACCAGATGGGCTGATCTTCTCTTACAAAACTAAGAATGAACTGGCAAAGAAGTATATATATATATACATATATATATATATATATATATATGTATATATATATGTGTGTGTGTGTGTGTGTGTGTGTGTATGTATATGAACCTTCAATGCAGGTGTTACAGCAGTGAACAAAAGATCAACTTCCTTGGAATCCAACCCAGGTAAAAGGGAAACAGCAAGGTCAAATAACTGTGCCCTGTATACAAGAAAGAGCTATATAAAAAACCCTCATAGTAGGAAAATTCCAATTTCTTAGAGTCTAAGCATACAAGCTTCAAAAAATTAAATGAAAATAGTTACATTAACTAGATAGTAACCACATATCTCACCTTGCTGTTGATAGAGAAGCTGCACGAGATGAGTCATCAACCTGCATGGCATTTGAATCTTTGTTGTTCCTTAATCTACTCACATCTTGAGTAACTGTAAGAAGCTTCTGCATGGTTTTCTTAAAAAACCTTGAGACAGTTTCCTTGTCCAATATTGAAGCAAGCTCAACAATTGTAGACTGAAAGAACATGAAAGAGTTTAACACTAATCAAAATCAAGGTCAACGGAATGGTCCACTTATATGTTTGGATCATTTTCCCAATTCATTGATATGATTAAATAACCACTTAGCACCAGGTGTCACTAATATTTGATTTCCCTATCTTTCTCTATATTAACACTCTGACTCCACACCAGCTGTCCTAGGGCTTGATAGCATGTTCCAACCTACATTTTGCCTTTGCACAAAACAAAGATTTTTAAAAAATTCAAACTTTAGGAACAGAAAATATATTGAAGAGGCGTCTGTTACGTATATGTACTTAAGTTGCCGTAATTTAAATTAAGTTATTTATTCAGTGCTAGAATAAGGTGATGGGACAGACTGTTGCTTACGAACCCTAACTTTCTTTATTCAAGCAGTGGGGTTTTAGGTCTCTTAAGCCACTGAGAAAAAGAGAATAGAGCCTTTGCCAACCAGCCATAGCCGACCACTCACTGCTCCGCCATTCTCGACACCGATACAGCAGGTATCAGTCATGCTCCACAGTCTCTTTGGGGTTGGATCATCCTAAACACAATAGCAATAACCTATCCCACGCTGATTCTTGGATTTCACGGCCAAGAGGCTCTTTCTTAAATGTTGTGAGCCATATCATCAGATACACACTTGTCATGATAAATCCCTAACATGACTGAAGCAGATGCAGAGTTTCTCTCCCCCAGACCCAGAGTTTGGATAGCTTGGTTAGCGTAGCATAGGTTTTTTGGTATTCCAGCCTTTAGACAAGGCTGTTTTGGCCGTGAGACTATTGGTACATATCTATATATTAATTACCATATTTTAGTTCAGTTATTTATTTAGTGCTAGAGTAAGGCGATGGGCCAGGCTTTTGCTGAGGAACGCCATCATCAACAGGTTCCACAGACCTGTAATTGCAGCTTTTAAGATCTCTTTGACCATGTAGAAAACTTCTGCTTAGTTCCCTTTATATGCCCTTGTGTAAGCCCCCTCCCCAGCTTTTCTCATTGGTAGATCCGCTGATTTGTTATATTTAAGCAGTAGGGTTTAGGTCCCTTAAGCCATCGAGAAAAAGAATAGAGGAGCCATTGGCTTAGGCAGGGGAAATCCAGATCGACATTCGCGCTTGAAGCAGGCTTGCCTGCAATTATTCTGTTTTCTTTCCGTTTATTTCGTTATCAGCTAATTAGTGACTTCAGCTTTGAACCTCTTCCCGCAATTAACCTTTCAATCCATCAGTGCCAAGGGCTACCAATAATGAAGAGAAAGAGAGTGCAAGTTCCAAGTAAAACAGAATGAACAGCTAAAGAAGGTGAAACAACTCTAATTCTTGATATTTAATTAGTTATCAAACATGCCCTGTCCTGTGTTGACAACCAAAATAAATGGCATCGGCTGTTCACTAGTATTTTAAGGAGATGTATTGATTATAAAAGCACAAAATACAAATCTATAATACGGCGAACAAGGCAATGGGGCTGCACTGGAGCCCTATGAACATACCAAGAATTAGTCAGATACCATGAGCAGAAAGCTTCACCTATAAAAGAGTTTAACCAGACCAACAACATTGACCTCCTAATATTACAACCAATATCTCTCTTTAAAAAAGAAGTTAGTAAGAATACTGATTTTGTTACCTGCAAAATGCCAATAGTATCTTTAGAAAACTTGGAGTAGATCCCAGTAAGAACCGTCAACAGCTCACGAGCAGAGGATTTCAATGTATGCAAATTAGAGCCAGCAACATCTGCAGTATAGAGGGTCATAGCCCTCTCTTCAGCAACACCTATTTCGGTGCTCGGACGATCCTGGTTTCCTTCCAGGATTCTCTTATTTTGCTGAATGAGAATTTGTAAGCCAGAACATATTAGACCACGAACTTCAGGTTCTTCTTGAAGAGCTGTACATAGTGCTTTCTCCAGAACCTTGAAACTTTCTGCAGTGTCAAGTGGGTAGTTGCAAAATGATGGTAGCAATGACCACAAGGAGTACACAATCCCATCGACACTTCTAGCTGAATGCAATTTTCCTACACGCTCGAACTGTATGGAATATAGTAAATTTAGTATACACAACATAAATGTGTTTATGTGCTTATGAAATATTAAAATTTATACCTCTGCAGATTTCTTCTTCATTTCAACAATCATGGGTAAAATTGAGTTTGTAAAAAAACTTAGGTTAGCACCGACGGTATACTGTTTCAGGATCGGAAAAAGCCACAGATTGCTCTCAGATAGATCTTGAATCTCCAAATTAAGAGGTAGAAGACTCAAAAAAGACTCTGGTCCCATAGCACCAAGAGCTGTTCCCATACACTCGTGAAACTGCCAAAAGTAATGATAAAACTATTTAAGACCAGATAATTAATAAAAAGGACTATTCAATTACAAAGAAATAATATTCTGAATTCGAAACAGACATCAACATTATAGGTTAGAAGAGCCACATAAACGACTAATCTAAACTACGTCAAACCCAAAATTTCTGGAAAGAAAAATGTTCCAAGAGCCATATGCACCATAAAATTCATCCAGCAATTTATAGGTTAGAAGCTTTTAGTATGTCTGAGGAGTTTCATACAGTTGAGTTGCAAGATGCATATAAAACAAAGCTGTATCATTCAGGCGTCTTATTCAGACCAACTTATAACCCTCTCAATATGAGAGAGATTATTTCACCAAATCCTCAAAATGCTTCACACCTCTGATATCTATGCTCAAAGAAAATTTACATGCTTATCGGGAGTTCGTAACGCCACCAATATGAATCATTAACTTTCATATATAACTATAGTTCCACATGGCTACCAAATGGTTTGCTAAGTAATCCGGCGAAAATCAGATGTATTCCACAAATAACTACAATGGACTAGTATCACTACTTGGTTCTCAAAAATCTACAACTATAAAATTTAAGATTGCTAATTATAGAAGGATTTCCATAGTGATCGAGTAGCAGTTCATTTCTCATGCATTCTTCCATGTTATAATATACAAGGTCGAACCAGTGATTAAAATAGCACGCAGCAAGCCTAGGGACGAGCCTCCTATTTGCCAGGCGTGAGGCCTGCCTTACGAAAGCAAGGCAAGCCGTTATACAAAAAAATAGAGATATATCATACAATTGACCAGTTATGAGTTATGACACAAACACATTCTATTCCTATATTGAATAATATAAATAAAATGATTACTAAAAATTAGTCCAAGGGACCAGAAATATGAACATGTGAACTCAATGTAGTCAATGATATAAGTTTCACTTTAAAAGTATTAAGGTAGGCAGAAGAAAATAAAACATTCAAAAAACAATGTCGAAGATGTCTGTACATTGCCACTTTCAAGAAGCAGGCAGAAGAAAATAGCAAGACATGGAAAGGCACAAACTGGACATTCAAAAAAGTCTGCTACCAATTAATATCAACTCCAAAAGCAGCCACAGAAAAAAGAAAAAGAAAAAGAAAATGGTTAAATCTTGGCTGCCGGCAGCACCGGCGGAATGACGCTGCTGGTGACGTCCGTAACTGGCGGTGCTGCGGCAGTGCTCACTCAGCCGTCCAAACAGAAACAGGTAAATGAATACAAAATAGCAGAACCAGAGGAAACATAGAAGACAATAACACATTCTCAGTGAAGCCATTTCCGATGCCAGAAGCCGCTGGAATCCAGTCGCCTTGGTCAGTTGAAGAAAAGTCACAAGTTGATTGAGGGTTTTGTTCGGGAGAACAGGTTTAATTGGAAAAAAATAAGAAATAAAGCCCACAAGTCGTGACCCTAATTTTTAAATATTGCCAGCCCCTCGACACAACTGCTCGAGGAGAGGAGGCCTCGCCATGCCATGGCATCGCATTTTTAATCACTGGGTCAAAATCTAAACACAATGGAAACAATCTTCTGAATTGAAGTTAATATATTATCTAGCTAATTACCTGTTTCTTGAAAGTGAAGTTTTCATCTGGCATCTTCTGCATATCAGCTAAACTTTTGAGTGTTCCTTTCAAAAAGTAAGAGGAATCTTTACCTGCAATGCCAAGTTGAAAGGGTGCTCAACTTCAAATACTCCAACCCCTCTTTACATTCATAAAAGACGACTTAAAAAATAAGGATAATTTTTTTGTACATTTTTTCTAATCAGTACTAGAGTAAATATGTCTTGGGTAAGTCAAATTGTTTGCATCAAGAATAACAAAAAGGCTTCAAATCAGGAAAAGATGCTGAGCAAATCATTTATTCAACATGCTTGAAACAAACAGTAAACTGACTTGCTACCTAGTTTATCAAACAAGGTTGAAACAACTTGGAACGACATATCCCAAACTGGTTCGTAATGATAATCGAGCAGACTTTCAACAGTTGCACAAATTTTTTCTATGACAGTTGGGCTTGTTTGCCTTGTGGCTGCATCAGCATTGACTGTAATCTGATCAACACCCTGTTTGATCAAACTCTCATCTATGCATGACTGTATTAAGCTTTTAAATGTTGCCACTGCTGCTACCGAAGCCTCCTCATGCTCAGAAGCCAAAATATCTGCACGAAGTGCAAAAAAAGTTAAGAAGAGTGAACTTAAGCCCAGTGGCACACATGGACATTATGTAATTTGAGCCCATAAACCAAAGACAAAAGAACAGGACAGGCAAGGTAGAACAAGTTTATTAGACTTTTCCAAATGAAATCTTTTTGCAACAAAATAAAGGAAGAGCAATTGAAATCAGAACGAGGATGAATCCACCTTTTAATGCATTGAAAACAAGGGGAAGCTTGACCACACAAATTTGCCTATTAAGAAAATAAACTCTTTTCATCCCAGTGTCCAGCAAACGAGCAGTGAATGTCATGCCATCAGCAGACGATTCATGTGGGGAAACCGAGGTAATTAAAGAGCATAATAATTCAGTAAGGATTTCAGCAGAAATTTCACCAACAGCATGCAGACACAGGGCATTAAGACCATCAGCTATGCGTCTGGTAACAATAGGATGTCTGAGTTCCAAAAGGGATTTGAAGTATTTCAAGATGTTTGTGGAGGATTTTGATGACATATAAGGAAGACAGGCTTTAAGAGCATCCAGAATGTAAAGGACCTCCTGTGCTGCCTTGGGCCCTTCTGAAGCGGTTGCATTTGATCCTCCAGCAATAAGAAGAAACCTCTCAAAGGCATTCGTAATGGATTCACTAGCAGGTGCGACCAACGGCGGTACTAAATGAAAATACTCCAGAGTTTCACGCAGGCACAAATGTGATTGTTTCCTTACCTGTGTTTCATTATCCAAAGTGATGCTTGGTGAGGTCAGTTGAACAACAATACAATAGCACATAAACACTATTAACAGTTCATTGACATATCAACAAGTTATGGGGTCTTTCAACTACCTTAACACCTACAAACTCAAATTATCGATTGTCAATGCAAGAAATTACTCGATCCATTTCAAACATCCTCACTACTGACTAACGTTCCCTGTCACGAAAACCATAATTTTCTCCATCTAACCTATGGTACATATCACCAAAAAAAAAATTTGACAGGCTATGATAAATAAAGTAGCCAGGTTGAAACAAAAGCATTCTGTTTAAACTAGGTAACAAAATGAAACAGCGGCAAGCATCCTAAAAAATGTGAAACTAAAAAGAAAAGAAAATGCACACAATTAGCTTCTCTAAGGAAAAAAAAAATGTACCATAAAATATTTTAGCTAAACTGCATTGTTGAGAACTCAGAAATGCTGAATGCAAAATTGGGACAAAAAAAAATGGCTTATGGCGTTTTCTATCTCTCTATCTTCAAAGAGCATAAAAAATTATTCTTTCACTTAGGAAAATACTAATGAGTATAAAATCATATTAACAACATAAAATGAAAAGGCTAAAAGAACAACTTTTTTCTCACCTTAGGCCGTTCATCAGCAATATAACCAATGAGAACGCCGTAAAGCTGAGCCACATCAGCCCAGCTCACATTTTCCCTCACCACCAGCAACCGCGAAGCACACTTCATCCCCGGCACAAGGCCGTTAACTCCGACGGACTTCGCCCCAAGCACCCGAATTAGAAGCTCCGATAGGTAATCAAATTTCGATCTAAGTACGGAGGGAGAAAATCTGTCAATAACTAGGGACAGGATGGTGAGCAGGGCTTCCAAGAGGTGAGAGGGGGAGTCGACGCTCGCAGAAAGGCGATCGATGGAGGAGCAGGTGGCACCAAAGTAGGCGATGGGTGTGAGAGGAAGGTTCTGATCAATCAGCTCCTGGGACATGGCCCCTATGGCGGCGCAGATGTGGAGGTGGTGCTCGTTGTTTGAGCGGCTGAACTGAGAGAGGACGGCTGAACAGAAGTCCTCGCTGCATAGTTTTTCCGGCGGCGCCGTTTCCATTTCGACGCCTTCCATGATTGCCCGGAAGCACGGAGAGGCGGTGGCGGGGACTTTAGGGTTTTAGGCTTTTTTTAGCTGTCGGGCAAAGACTTGGATTTGGAGATATTTAGGAGGGTGTATTGATTTTTAAGGACTTTTTAAATTTTTTTAAATTTGACGACTTTTGTTGATTTTGTAGAATTTTTATGATTTTGGTGGACTTTTTGAGACTTTCAGAGAATTTTAATCAGTGACTTTTTAAGACTTTCAAAATGGACTTTTTAAAATTTATTGAGACTTTTATATACTTACAGTTATAATATTATATTTGAATAAAATATTAATAAACGTAACATAATAACTAATATAAACAAGAATAAATGAAAAAACAAAAAGATGTTGTATATATTAATCCTCTAAAAATTTATGAATAAACTCATTTTTATGCGAAATGAGTTATTCACGAACAAATTGTTTAGGATTTTAGATTTATTAAACGAGTAAATCGATCCGAGCTTCAACGAGTCGAATCGAGCAGGGCCCTATATTTGTTTGTTAAAAGAGTACATGGTCAAATATGTGTTAGACATCTCTACTATAACGACACTTATAATCAACTCAAATTAAGATATATTTATTTAATTATTTATTGATTTTATTTTTTATATTTTTTGCACAATGTTGTTATATTAGAAAAATATTATTAGGTTATATTTTTACAAGATACAAACATGCCGAAAAAACAGTAATTGTATCTTATAAAATTATCAATAATATTTAAAACATTTCAATATTAACAAATAAACTATTTGAAAATAAAATATTTTTTTTAATATTTTGAAATAAACATTTACAAATAAAAAGAAAGAACAAATAAATTATTTGCAAGTGCAACTATAGAAGCATTAACCTTTGAAAAGTCATTCACAATATAGCAAAATGAGAGGATAAGGTATACACACATAAAATAAGCATAATAAAGAATATATAAAATAAAAAGATCGCAATAATATGTAATGAAAATAAAACTTACACAAGGTATCAAAATAAATAAGTAAAATAATAGAGCATGAAAATGATATGGGATACAAAGTCGTTTTAGAAAGAAAAACAAAAAAAAAAAAGCGTGAAAAGAGTCACATAAGTCCACCAAAATCTCATCAATATTGATGAGATTTCTGTTGAGACTTTTTCTTTGTAATTTTGTTACAAAAGTCTCTAAAAGTCTCAGAATTCAAAAAGTCTCACAAAGTCTTTCTGTTTTGAATATCGGGTGACTTATAAAGACTCTCAGAATGTTTTAATTGAATACCCTGAGACTTTTAGAGACTTATTAAAAATCATTAAAATTCTCAATTGAATACATGTAAACATTTTAGAAGTCTTTAAAAGTTCTAATTGAATACACCAAAATTCTAAAAGTCTTAAAAAGTTGCAATTGAATACAACCCCCTTATTTCAAATAACCTTTGACCAAAAAGGTTTTATACAAAATAAACAAAAAATCATAAAATAATGAAGAGACTTTTATGCCTTTATATATTGATTTTATTACTGGACAAAAAAAAATTAACTGACAAAAAAAAAAGGGGTCGACCAAAATAAAACAGACGTAAAACGTATTCCCATATTACGTTTTAAAACGAATTAAATTATTAAACGCGGTTAAGTTAATTAAATTAATATAAACTGTGATTAAGAAAATTAAATTAAAACATATTTTGAAAATACGTTTACTAAAAAACATATTTTCGAAATACGTTATACCTACTAAAACGTATTTTTGATATACGTTTGTTTTTAAAATAAATTTAATATACTATAAACATATATATAAAATTTGTAAAATTTATTATTTAGTGATTTTTTTAATGGAAAACGTATTTTTAGAATACGGTTTCATTAAAGAAACCATATTCTCACAATACGTTTTTCATTAAAAAAAAATTTAAAACGTATTTTGAAAATATGTTTTACTGTACAGAAACAGAAATTTTACAACAGAAATAAAAGAGAACACCTGCTTTTCGAAATTGATTCCACAACCAAATATTCAACAACCAACATTCATCCAAAATATATTAATTGCACAAACAAAATTGAACCACAATAATTTATTCAAAATACCAATATGTGTGAATTTAATTACACAAAAGTCAAGAAAAAAAATGTTCATAAATTTCCTAATAGTTGCTAGGAGTGAATTGATCCGGAGGTCTGCGATGTCGGGAGCCCATCCGACGTTGGTGCGTCAGTAAAGAAGACGAGGCTATGGGCGTGGCAGCTTCTTCTTCTGCATATGAATAATTGATATTTTAAGAAAATCAGAAATTCTACTTGACAATAAATAAATAAATAAATAATTTAAAAATCATATTGCAGTTAAGTAAAAAATTCTAACCTCCTTCTTCTTGTTCCTCAGGCAGGGTGTTGGGAGGCACGGTGTCGGCAGGCACAATGTTGGCATCGAGTTCGCGGACACGGCGTCTTCTACGCCCACCAATATTGGCAGCAGGTCGATGCCTCGCCCGGTGCGACTGCGTCGGTTGGGGTCGGACGTAGCTCTCTTGAGATAGAACTTGACTCGACGATGTCCCTTGCGTGACCCCTTGTCCTCCAACAGTCAGTCCACTGTATAGCATGTTTTGGGACTGTGCAATTATGGACTGTTGCTCTAGAGTGAGTGCATTAAAGTCAAGGGTCGATAACAAGTTATAAACCTCCTCCATGGCATTGGCCTGGAAATTAAATTGAAAATTATTGCCATTAAACAAAAAAAAATAAGAGTAATAAAAAAAACACAATTTAGTAACACTTACACTGCACATCCCCTGCTCGGACAGTGGATGAAAGCCTCCTTCCTGTTGGGCCACCGGGTTGTTACCAGGATTACAGATTAGTCTCATAGTCCTATAGTGAAACCAATCAAGGTAATCCGGCTCAGGCTCAAGGAACGACTCCACAGGGTAATGTGGGAGGACATGTTTGGCTCTTTGTTCGACCCAAACATTTCCAAATGCTCATGATACTCCACCAAATCATAGAATGCCCTCCCAGTCATTCCCTGGCCTCGGTGGTGTGTCTGGTACTCAGCCAAACCTCTAATGATCGAAGGGTCGGGGATGGCTTGTCGACACCCGAACTGACGGATGACCCTATCAGTCAGGTGCTGCTCACGAATGTCCCAACAGAAGATCCACCCTCTATACATCCAGAGGTCTGAACCTTCTGTACACGGGGCCGGGAGAGTACCCTCGTCCAGGTGGCGCTTACATGGCACCCAATTGAACTGTAAAAAATAATAACAATAACTATTAAGTTATAGAAAAATTAAAAACGAAAAACAAATATATATAATAATCAATATTACTTAATAAAAATCTTACATCATTCTCTCTCAGTCCCGTTAATTGATCTCGGATAGCGGTTGTTCCCTTTCCTACGTGTTTCATATTCCTCCGTCCCATCCACCTTAAAAATCACATAATAAAAGAAAAACAACAATTCTAATCACAAAATTTTATAATTAAAATATTCTAAGTATTAAATATAAATATTACCTTCCTCCTAAGGGACAACCATGGACTCTGTCAAAGATGGTATCCCTCATTTTTGGGCTAATACGAGGGATACATTCCCATGCCCAAACCTACAGATGTCGATATTTATGGTTAATATATTGTTAAAGGTATGCTGTAAAAGCTATGTTTTGCAGATTCTATCAATTCCATTTTGATCTGGTCATCATGTTTCGGTCAAAGTACATATGTTTGCAGTTTATTTATTTATGCAAATCATACTCCATGTCTTATATTGAGATAGTGTGGTTCGAAGAGTTTGGAACAGTAAGATCACCTATCGGTTCCTTATAAGACTAAACTATTCGTTCACAGTCTAGACAGGCAGTGAGACCCCTCTTGGAAAAAGACCATAGTGTATTCTTGATTCAGTTGGTCTTTGACTGAAGAATTACACTAGCACTTATGTTAAGTGTTGAACAGGACCACGGAAGGATAAGGATATGAGACTCACTGACCGTTGTTGTAACCTAGACCTTCAGTGATTGATGCGTTCTCTTAAGCTGTAAGATAATATAAAATAGGCATATATTTTTATTTCTTATTTATTTGATTTACCAAGTGATTCCTATTTTATTAGGATGACATACGAGGTATTTTGGTAAGTAAGAATAATTATATGATGTGCTATTATAAATTATTTATGGTCACTATGTTCTAGTGCGCTGGATTGATGACGTCCCCGAAATGAGCTCAGGAATGTACATTATGTTAAACCCTGCAGGTAGATGATTGTCTGACATAATCGTTAAGGATCTGAGTGGTATTAATTTCGGAAATGAATAAGAAGGTGATTAATTATTTTGTCAGTAATTTAATTAATCAACATACGTTATATCTTAAACATAGGGAGGTAAATCGTCAATCGGATTAATATTATTTAATCATGGAGGCTCAATTTTATTGGTAAAATAGTGGCTAAATGAGGAGAGCAATAATATTACTCTAGTGGGATGTTTTATTATTTAATTCCATTTAAATAGGAATTAATTTTATTCCATATTAATTAATTTAATTAGGAGAATAAAATTCCTACTAGAATCTTCTCTTGGGATTAGGAGACTAAGGAGTCTTCTAGAAGATGAAGATTAGTAGGATATATATTTCTTACATTAAATAATTAATTGGAGTAGAATTAGGCTTCCTAAATTAGGAATTAATTTTATTCCATGATTATTAATTTAATTAGGAAAGATATTCCTACTAGGATCTCCTCTAGTGTTAGGAGACTAAAGAGTCTTCTAGAATAAGGAGATTATTAGGAGATCTCCTTCCTACATTAAATTAGTATTGGAGTAGAATTAGGATTCCTAGGCCTAAATGGGATAAACCCATATTTAGCACCTCCTTAAGGTCCCTAATGGAGCCTATAAATACACCATGTCCCAGTCTCTCCTACATAGATGTGTTGGCTGATTTTCTCCTCTACATATGTGCGAGAAATATCTTTGTTCGAGG